AGACAGATATGAGGAGAACCCAGGACCTTATTGCCTATCTTGCTGATAAGCGACAGCACCAACCACGCAAATATTTGACGCAAATAACTTATTTTTAATCGGGTGAAAGTAAATACTCGTCATGTAAGACACTACAGAACCACGTGCCTGCCACTTTCTTTCCGCTTGTATTCTTTCTTTGGGATATTGTTTTGAATTCATAAGTGACTATTCATCCCAAATGACATGACCCTATGTTTGCACACATAATTCACTCACACTTCTCTCTCCATTTCATGAGCCAAATGTAAATAGTCTGTAGTGAGATGATGATCCTCGTTTCCTGCTCCTCCCTCAAAACCACATTTCACATCCTTGTCAACAGTCGTACTTGTTCAAAGCACTTAGCGCCAGAAGTACAAAAAACGTCTTCCTAAAGCACAATAACCTACAGCTCTAAGCAGTCTTCTCAGGAGGATTTGTGTCAGTGTGATTGAAGCATGCAGGTGGGAGTTTATGGAAGTGGAGAGCCAGCCAACACTTCATTCAGCCACTTGTTTGGGAACTTGACACTAATTGGTGTGTGGAATGTGGCCATTAATAAAGCCCAGCGTGGCACATGTGGGCACAATGCTCAACAGGTTGTAAAAGTCAAATTTATAAGGGTTCCATGGAGCACAGCCACTCAAACCAAAGTCAGCTGTTTATATTCACTTCAGTAATTCAATTAGAAAGACATTAAACATACTTTTCTTACAACATAGGATCTCTGCCACTTTCATCCATTTTCTACTTCTTACCCAGTCCTCGTGGAGACAGCGGTCGGAGCAGAAACAGAAGCCCCGTGTTCTATGACCTGTGTTGAAAATCGGGACGACAGTGGGAAAGGTTACCGTGTTGTTTGGACCAGTGCTGCCTTTCACCGCAGGGAAGACAGGGACGTGTCAAAATAAAAGGGTCAAAACAAATGTCCGCGTTCAAAATAAAACTTCTATAGTCACGATGCAGAACCACAGTGGATTAAATGACCAATAACGCCATAATACACTTCTCGTCTTTC